AATGGGGTTTTAGGATTCTGCCAGGAACAAAATTCAAGCTTTCCAGGATGGGTATGAAAGAATTCACTTTCTTCCTGTTTTTGAAAGTTGGAACTGAACATGCCCATTTGCAGCCGGATGACACTCTTCCCACTTTCCACGACTTTCCAAAGATTTCCAACAGCTGCAATCATTTAGCAAATTCATTGGCACCCTAAAATGTTTTTTCATCAGGCCTGGTGACTTAAACTCATTGAGAACAGTTAAGTGTTCTCTTACTGTCTCCTCATTTATCTTGAACGTCAATTTCTATTAACCATTTTTGTTCTATGTTTTACGATCTGAGGATGATTCTGCTTGGTAGAGAAAACATGCAAAACATTGAGTCATTCTGCCTTCTGTCATCCATTAACATTGCTTTAGGTAACCAAAGAAGTAATCTTATCCCTCTCTTTTTGCTGTGGAATGTTAATACTCAATCTAAGCCTTAGCTCATTCTGGGCTTCAGCAGTCCTGACATTTTTACAAGACTCTGCCATTCTTTTATATTCTCCCTCAGTGACTTTCCCTTGCACCTATTTTATGTAGCTGTGTTTTTAAAAGCTGAAGGCATTGTTAAGTGCCCTGGAAGGTATGCTGCCCTTTTTACACAACTCTCTCTTTTTCTTTCTATCCCTTCTTTCATCATCTTTTTTTCCCCAATAAAGCTTTAAAAAATCTTGCTATAAACAGGGAGAGCAAGGAATAGTTTACCTATCAGATCGATGGAGAACAGAAGAATTCATGACCAAACAGGAGATAGAGAACACTAAGAAAAGCAAAATGGATAATTTTGATTACAATAAATTGAAAAGTTTTTGCACAAACAAAGCTAATGCAACTAAGATTAGAAGAAAGGTAGAAAATTGGGAAAGAATTTTTACAACCAGTCGCTCTGATAAGGGCCTCATTTCTAAAATATATAGAGAGAATAAAGTCAAATTTATAAGAATACAAGCCATTCGGGGGCAGCTAGGTGGCACAGTGGATAGAGCACCAGCCCTGGATTCAGGAGGACCTGAGTTCAAATCCGGCCTCAGACACATAACACTTACTAGCTGTGTGACCCTGGGCAAGTCACTTAACCCCATTGCCTAGCCCCCCAAAAAAAAAAGAATACAAGCCATTCCCCAATTTATAAATGGTCAAAGGATATGAACAGACAGTTCTCAGATGAAGAAATTAAAGCCATCTATAGTCATATGAAAAAATACTCTAAATCACTATCAATTACAGAAATGCAAATCAAAACAACTCTGAGGTACCACATCACTCCTATCAGATTGGCCAACATGACAAAACAGGAAAATGATAAATGTTGAAGAAGATGGGGGAAAATTAGAACACTAATGCATTGTTGGTGGAGCTGTGAACTATCCAACCATTTTGTAGAAGAATTTGGATCTATGCCCAAAGGGCTACAAAAATATGCATACCCTTTGATCCAGCAATAGCACTTCTAGGGCTATATCCCAAAGAGATCAAACAAATGGTAAAAGGACCCACACATACAAAAATATTCATAGCAGCTCTTTTTGTGGTGGCAAAGAATTGGAAATTGAGAGGATGCCCATCCATTGGGGAATGGCTGAGCAAGTTGTGGTATATGAATGTAATGGAATACTATTGTGCTATAAGAAATGATGAACAGGCTGACTTCAGAAAAACCTGGAAAGACTTGTATGGTCTGATGCTGAGTGAAGTGAGCAGAACCAAGAAAACCTTGTACACAATAACAGCCACGTTGTGTTATGACTAATATTGATAAACTGAACCCTTCTCAGCAATACAAGGATCTAAGACATCTCCAGAGACCTCGCGATGGAAAATGCCAATCACGTCCAAAGAAAGAACTATGAAGTTGAATTGCTATTTTTTTCTCTTCCGTTGAGTTTTGTTTCCTCTTTCTGATGGTTCCTCTTAATGGCTTTAATTTTTACTTACAACATCACTAATGTGAAAATATGTTTAATAGGAATGTAAATGTATAGCCTATATCAGATTGTGTGCTGTCTTGGGGAGGATGGTGGAGAGGAAAGGGGAGAAAAATTTTAAACTCAAAAGCATGTGGAAGTGATTGCTGATAAATCAAAATAAATTAATAAAATATATATTTTTTAAAATCTTGCTATAGGGGCAGCTAGGTGGCACAGTGGATAGAGTACCGGCCCTAGATTCAGAAGGACCTGAGTTCAAATCCAGCCTCAGACACATAACACTTACTAGCTGTGTGACCCTGGTCAAGTCACTTAACCCTAAACCCCCCCCCAAAAAAATCTTCTTATAACTTGGTTTTCTCACTAGACTAAGCTCATTCTGAGCTTTAGCCATTCTAATTCTTGTAGGACTAAGCCATGCTTTTGTATTCATCTTGTTCTCTGCCTTGCTTCCATCTCTTGTAAGTATCTTTGAAACATCTAAGTTCATTGGTGGGTTCTTCTTGCCTCCATATTGCTCTTCAGGCAACTCCTGCTTTTTCATCTTATAGAGATTATTTCCCTCTGAATCTTCAGATTTTCACTGTTCAGAGTTTTCTATACTTCCTGGGCTGACTTCGCTTGTAGAATTTACTGACTAAACTGGGGAACCTGTGGCCTTCTGGGTCCTTGGGTGTGGCCTTTTGATGGAGTCCAAGTTTTACAGAACAAATACTTTTATTAAGGGGATTTGTTTTGTGAAGTTTGGATTCAGTCAGAGGGCCACACTCGAGCACCCAGAGGGCCACATGTGGCCTTGAGGCTGCAGGTTCCCCACCCCTGATTTAGTCCATGGAATATTACCTATCCTTTTTGTGAATCCTTTTAAATCTATACTTCTAAAACTCTAGGGTACATTTCAAACTAAGCTTGACTTCCCATACTCTTATCACAAACTCTGAGAAGGAATTGTCATTTTCATCCAAGGTTGCCATTACTTCTACCCCAATAATTAGTGTCTATCTGAATCAGTGAGAATTAGATGCTGAGTAAAATTTCCCCTTGGTTCTCTATCTATCGAAGGATAAAATTATCATTAAGGCAAGTCAAGCTGCTCCCCTTTTGGCAAAGATAGAAATCTAGCAAGCATCTAAATAATTGAAGTTTCCTTTTACTACTGTAGCCCACCTAAAATATAGGTTGCACTAGCAAAGCATGTGTAAAGCTTGCAATCTATTCCCTGAATCCATCTGTTTCTTCTTTCTGAACAAGTGGTCTATTGTACATTCTGATGACAAAATCACTTCTATTTCTGCCACAACTGACTTTCATTCAAATCTCTCCACCATGCTTCCTTCTTCTGTTCCTGGATTTCTTTACATGACTATACTAATAATAATTTAACATTTATATAGCACCTACTAGTGCCAAACACTGTGCTTTACAAACATTATCTAATGTGATCCTCATAACAACTCTGGGAGGTAAGAGCCATTATTATCCTTATCCTATAGATGAGGAAACTGAGGCAGACAGAGGTTAAGCAATTTGTCCAAGATCACACAGCTAGTGAGTGTCTGAGGCCAGATTTTGAATTCAGGTCTTCCTGACTCCAGACCTACCACTCTATCCACTGCACTCCCTAGCTGTCCAAATATACAATGTTATTCCTGCCCCCAAACTCCCTACCTCATTCCACTATTTCTCAGTAATACCTAGAAGGTCAAATTTGTCTCTGAATTAATATTTCCAATTTGTCTTGGATGCTGCCCAAAATTGGCACATTTGTATATTGACATATATTGTTTGTATTGTCAGAATTTCATTCCCAATGACTTACTATCTCTCTTGAACCAAATTTTCCTATAACATCTTAGACTACTATATCATACCCATCCATCCCTTCTCTGAAGTCTTAGGAGTATGTTCTCCCAGTGTCTATGTTCTTTAGTATGCTATGCCTGCTAATGCAATGAATCATGAGCAATGCCTCCACTTTCCTAGCTACTGAGACGTGTAACATCAGTCATCCTAGAATCTAGGACCCAGACGTCTCGCTCTCATTTGTTTTCTTCCAGTCTCTGCCATTTCTAATCAGTTAGAGTATCGCAGTCCTTCTTTCTGGATATTGTTGCTGTTTAGTCATTTCAGTCATATCTGACGCTTCATGACGACATTTGGGATTTTCTTGGCAAGATACTGGAGTGGTTTGCCAGTCCCTTCTCTGGTTCATTTTACAGATGAGGAAACTGAGGCAGAGTGTAAGTAACTTGCCCAAAGTCACACAGTTTGTAAGCATCTGAGGCTGGATTTGGACTCAGGTCTTCCTGAATCTGGGCCCAGAACTCTATCCACTGTGCCATATAGTTTTCTGCCCAGCACACCATAATTCCTAGATTCCAGTACTAGCTTCATAATCCTTAATGCCTTGCACCTTCCAGATGAGAACATTTATCCATACATGACTCATCAGAGGTAGGTATTCATCACAAAGTAAGACTAATTTTAGAAGCTTCTCTGTCAGGACAAAGCTGGACAACCAGGAAAAGATAGCACACTTCTCAGTTATTCATATTGGGCCAACAAATGGCCCCCTCACCACCTCTTTAGTAATGAGTTACCAACTCCCTCAACTTTTCTTCTTGTGGCCAGTCCTAAATGTCCCACACAAAGGTGTGAGCTGGTGCCATCATCATCAGTCTATAACACAGAGGAAGATATTTGCTCCTTAGAGCATCAAACTTTACTCTTGATGGGAAGGGCCTCAGTCCCAACCCACATCCCAATGATTCAGTGGTCCTTCTTTTTCTTCTTTTTGCTGCAGTTTTCTACCTACTAACTTATGACATAGACTTACATTCCTCTCTGAATCCTAGGATTCTGTTTTCCTTTTAAATAATTTCTTCCCTTTTTTTTCTCCACAACAAAATACATATTAGAGAAGTATTTCTTCATCCCTTTCACTTTTCCCTCTAGCGTGAAGGCCAACCTTCATTTAATACCCATCTAATTATCAGTTGGCCCTGGGAGAAATACAAATGTAACACAGCCTCTTTGATTACTCACCAAAGGAGGAAACCGTGGGATCGTTGAATCATCACTTCAGGAATGGGAGGAACCTCAGAGGTCATCTAGTGCAACTTCCTTCTTTTTCAAATGAAGAAACTTGGGCCCCCAGGGGTTATGAACTTTCTCTAATTCTCACTGGTAATAACAACCTAGGGGCAACTGGGTGGTGCAGTGGATAAAGTTCCAAACATGGAGTCAAGAAGACTCATCTTCCCAAGTTCAAAATCTGGCCTTAGACAATAAGCTGAGTGACCCTGAGCAAGTCACCTAATGCTGTTTACCTCAGTTTTCTCATGTGTGAAATGATCTGGAGAAGGAAATGGCAAACCACTCTGGTGGTTTTTGCCAAGAAAACCTCAAATGAGGTCACGAAGACTCAGCCACGAGTGAAAACAACTGAACAACAAGAAATCAAGGTTGTCTGATTCCAAGTCTAGTATTCTTTCCACCTTATCAAACTGGTTTACAAAGGAGATACTCATCAGTGATCAGTTCCTACTTCTTATTTCTCTCAGTTCTCCACTTTACTCCCACCCCTATAGGCAAGGAAAACAAAAATAACATCACTCATAGATTTTCCAATGGCCTTAATATTTTGGAACATAAGAAGTAGGGAATCACAAAGGAATAATTGCAGAATGAGTGTGATCTGTCCCCTCATCTCTCCTCTCTCCTGTGGCTTCACATGCTCTAATGTAACATTGTCAGAATGCCATGTACAGGATCATCTTACCCTCCTGCAACAAGCAAAGAACAGATCACCCTCATTTTACACATAAAGAAATCAGTACAGGAAGTGGAAGTCATTTGCTCAACTTCCAAGAGTGAATAAGGTGGCATAGTCAGGACTTGAACCTAGGTCTTATAGCTCCAGGTCTAAGGTTCTTTCATTAATAATAATGCGGAGCACCAAAAACATGTGCTGAACAGAACATAGATTCTGGCAACAAACCCTCATCAGAGGGAAGGAATATACATTTCTTAAGCACCTACTATGTGCCAGGCACTGTGCTAAGTGTTTTACAAACACTATTTCATTTGATCTTCATAGCAACCCTGGGAGATAGATAAATAGATAGAGATAGATAGATAGATAGATAGATAGATAGATAGATATACACATACATATATGTGTATATATACGCACACACACACACATACACACATATATTTAAATTTACCAATAAGGAACCAAGAAAAGACGTTAAAAGGTACTCCTCTCAAAAAAAAATCGATGTCACCAATGATGCAAGGTGGTGTATGTGGGCAACTACTACATTTGGAATCAGAAAAATTGAGGTTGAATGCAGACTGTTTCTTACTATCAACAGGGCTTTGTATAAGTAATTTAACATCTCAGGACTTCAGTTTCCTCAGCTGTAAAATTAGGTGGTTGAACTAGACAACCTCTAAGCTGTCTTCTAGTTCTAGATCTATTGATATCCTCTGAAATAATCTGTTGTTGTAGTTGTTTTTCAATCATTTCAGTCATATCTGACTCTTTGTGACACCACTTGGGGTTTTCTTGTCAAAGGTACTAAAGTGCTTTGCCATTTCCTTTTCTAGCTCATTTTATAATGAGGAAACTGAGGCAAACAGGGTTAAGTGACTTGTCCAGGCTCCCAGGTCTAGTAAGTGTCTGCGGCCAGATTTGAATTCATGAAGATAAATCTTCCTGATCCCAAGCCCAGTATTCTATCCACTGCTCCACCTAGCTGCCCTTTTCCAAAAAGAGAATGGATTCTAATGATCATAAATCCTAAAAGAGATGAAAAGTTTGCAGGCCACTTTAAGGTTTACAGAGTACTTTTTCCCAGAAGAAGTGAATTTTGTAAAAAGCTCTACCAAGAGATAAAGATTTCCTATACTATTACTAGAAAGCTCATAAGACATGGTATTTTATGATGTTTTTGGAGAGTTTTGAAAAGGTCTTGGCTTAGTAGGTGGAAATTTGGAAGGTTCTCATAAAATGAGATGGAGGAAGTGTATAGAAAGCTGGAAGAAAGGAACAGGAAGAAGGAGAACAAAGAATAAGTCAGAAAACAGGTCTGTGGAGAACATAAAGAAGAAAATCCTAAAAATCTAAGCAGGAAAGAAATAAAGGGAGGAACCCAACACACCTTCTCATGCAGTCTGCTGGATTTGGATGGCAAGCTGCCCAGCAATTACTAAATGTTCTGTAGCATACAGATATCAGTCCAAAGCAGATTCAGTGGTAAATTAACCCTATTGGAAAAGATTTATGGAAAATAATAGTTAAAAAAAATTTTAAATACAAATGGAAAACAAGAATAGCTAATATTCAACGTTTACTAGGAGTCAGATGCTATTTTAATCTCTGTTTTCAGGATAAGGAAACTGAGGCAGATAGGAGTCAAATGACTTGCCCCAAGTCATAAAGTTCATAAGTATCTGGGGCAGGATTCAAATTCAGGTCTTCATGATTTGAAATACAGAATTTTAATCATTAAGCTACTCTTTTACCCAATCATAATTTTTGACCCAATGATATCACTACTAAGAATATACTCCAGAGTGACTAAAGCCAAAGGAAAACATATTAAATTGTTTATAGTAGAAGTTTCTGTGGTTAAGGGAGAACTGGATACAAAGTAGGTGTTCATCAGCTGGAGAAGAACTAACAAATTGCGGCATGTGAATGTTAGGGATTGTTGCTGTTCAGTAATAAATGATGAACACGAGGACTTCAAATCATGTTGGCCAGACTTCAATGAATTGATGAAGAGGCAACTAACCATAAGCAGGAGATCAATTTTCATTATAATCACAATAACATAAAGAACAATTGAATTGACTTCAGAACTCCTATTAATGCAGTGACTAATCGTGACATCAGAAAACTGGTGAAAAATCATGCCTCCTACCTCTTGGCAGAAAGATGATAGAAAAGAGTTGCAGAATGAGACAAACATTTTCAAACATGGCCAGTGTGTTTGATTTGTTTTGCTTGACTATGTATATTTTAAAACACACAGAAGAAAAGAAAAAGCAATTTGAAAAGGATCAGAAGCAGAAATTTTTCACTATCTTAAAAAGCAAGTTCTACTTTTTCAAATAAACTGTATATAATAGAAGTTCATGATTTCATATACAATTTTTTGTTCTTCTTTGTCATTGTAATGTTTGTTTGTTGATGGTTGTTAATAATCACAGCACAAAGGATCTATCATCTTCATGCTAAATTTTAAGCCCTTGAAGAAGAGGGTCTGTCTACTCCCCAAAAGGTTTTGGTTCAGCCCCTCCCTACTAGGCCCTCCCATGTGTGGCAGGAAAAAATAGCCTTTTCCCCATTCCCTCCCTAATTTCCTCTTAAGGTCCTGCAGATGAAGCTATTAAAGCTACTGAAGACCCAAAACAGATAGTTCTTGCTGCCAAAGTCTTTGACCCTATCAAATGGTTCAATATCAGAAAAAGGATATGATTTTATCAAATGAAATGACATTAAAGAATAGGCATTAGCATTTATTTTGCCATTCCTCTCTGAGAATCATGGGACCTTTCCATTTGACTTGCAACTGAAACCTTCCATTTTGTTGTCTCTCCCATTTAAATGTGAACACCTTGAGAGCAAGAAATGTCTTACGTTTTTGTTGGTATCAAGAACAGTTAGTTCTCAGTGTATATTAAGCACTTAGTGAATGCATTGTTCATTCATTTTCCATCTATTTAGAATGGTACAGTTTAAATGTAGAGTTGGACTGGTGGCCAAATACCTAGTATAATCCCCTCATTTTACAGATGAGGAAATTGAAGCTCAGAGAGTTTATGACTTATCCAAGAGCACACAGGTAGAAAGTTAAAGGTATAAGATTTTAGTCTAATGCCCTTTAGTCTGATGCTGAAGTAGGACTCTTTCCAATGCATTATGTTACCTTGACAGCTCTTGGGAAAAGAACTTGCTCCTTTAGAAAAAGGTACCACATTGAAGAGGGATGTATTCAGAAAAGAAGGTTATATACAGATATATGAACAAAAATATTTTAATTTTTGACCTTAAAAAGAGTTCTATGCTTTTTGTCTCTTCTTACTAAACAATAATATTCCACCACACTTATATACTTCAACTTGTTTGACCATTCCTCAGCTGATGGGCACCTACTTTGTAGGCCATTAGTGAGAACCTGGGTGGCACAGTGGATAGAGTGCTAGACCTCGAGTCAGGAACACTAATCTTCTTGAGTTTAAATCTACCCTCAGACATGTACTAGCTAAATGACCCTGGGCAAGTCACTTTACCCTTTTTGCCTCAGTTTCCTCCTCTGTAAAATGAGCTGGAGAAGGAAATGGCAAATCACTCCAGCATTTCTGCCAAGAAAACCCAAAATGGAATCAACAAAGAGTTGGACATGACTGAAAAACAGCTGAACACTGAACAACTTTGTTGCTAGTTATTTGTTACTAGGGGGTGGGATGGTGGTAGTGGTGGGAAACCAACTACTACTTAACTATCTTGTATGTAAAAGTCTTTTTCCTGTCTTTGATCTTGGTCCAAGACCAGAGCAAGAAGAAGCCTGATTCTTACACATCACACTGCTTCTCAGTGGTAGCTTCTTGCTCTAGAGATATCAGTAATCACCACTGTTCTGTGAATATTTTTTAAATGCATAAAGTTGAGTGGATTCTCTACTCCTCCCTACTATAAATAGCTGACATTTGCACAGCACTTGAAAATTTACAAATCGTTTCCTACATATTATCCCATTTTATCCTTAGCACAATGCTAGGAAACAGGTACTAGGGTATCATTATTTTCATTTAAGTTGACAATAGGTGGTTGTCAGAGCTGGAAAGGGCCTCAAAAATCATCTAATCCATCCTGTACCTGAGGAGAATTCCTTCTGCAATATACCCAATGAGTGGTCATCAAGCATCTTCTTGGAGACATTCAATGAGGGCAAATTCATTACCTCCAGAGTCAGCCCATTTTATTGTTGCATAGTTCTGTTACCAAGGAAGTTTTGGTGTTTTTTGTTTTGTTTTGTTTTGTTTTGGTTTGGTTTGGTTTGGTTTGGTTTTTTCCCGACATCAAGCCTTTATTTGTCTCTTTGAAATTTCTCCCCATGGCTCCTAGTTCCTTCTTCTCAGGCCAAACAGAGCACATCTAAGCCTTGTTCCACGAGATGGTCCTTCAAATATTCAAAGACACCTACAGTGC